CATTTAAAAGTGCCTGTGTTAAAACTTACGCTCATATTGGTCCTGCTTTAGTCCAAGACCTAGTACTGACTTGACATTCCATCTGCTGTCCTTTAATTTTATTTCTAAGTGCTTCTGATAACATAAAACTTCTGGTAACATAAAAGGCTTCCCACTACCTAATTGTGACAGATTTTACCCCCTAATTCTTGAACCCTTAACAACTTCAAAATAATCCAACTGTCCCTCTGTTCAAGCAGAATTTTTAACACCATGCACGATTAACTGATCATATAATTGACTGTTTTTCAGGTCAAATAGATGGTATCTATGAATTTGATACGGATTCACTTTGTAATGCCATATTTCTCATTCTTACTACGAGCATTGCTGATGTGATTTGACTGTTAGATGATGGCATCACTCCACAGTGATGTCAATTTGCATTTTTTTAAGGGTTTATGTTTGATCAGGATGTATTTGAGTGTGTATTGCTGTAGTAATGAATAACTGCACGGCTATTTCTGCACAATATAGGTTGAAATGCTACATCCACGTCTCCTGGATGAGTGAAATCATGTGGAATCGTAAGCCCATCACACCCAGAATCATCACGTGTGTTTGGAGTGTAGGTTGCAAAAAATTGAAAAAGTAGTCTCAGACAATTATTTTATTCATTTTACTATGCCGATACTACAGATTAGATACTAGAGATTAAAAATAAATAAGAATGAAAATGACATTTCATTATTTGATGGGCCAGATAAACGTTACATAATGGAAACCATGACAAAATTTCGAACTGGAGAGACGTTTACATCGGCAAAAGAAAGCATGTGATATAGGTTGGACAGGACAGAGGCCTAATCCCAGTGCTGTATCAGTATTGCGGCACTTACAATAAGATTACATGGCGAGAAAAGAAGGTTGCGAACATAAGGGAATGACTTATTTAGATAATATTCTGGAACGAAAACCAAAGCCAGCAGGAGAGCGACCGCCAACACACAGCAAAACCTTACAGACAAAGAATACAAATATAATTATCGTAACAAGTTCAGGTAACATTTAGTTCCAAATGTAAATTCTATTTTCTTGGTGGTGTCAGCCATTCTTTTAAGAGCATAGACAGCCTAAGGCATCCACTGACAACGTAATAATATTCAACCAGGTTTGGAGACACAAGTTAAAATGGACAACGTAATGATATTCAACCATGTTAGGAGACACGAGTGAAAATGAACTGCAATGATTGTGATTCACTCAAGGTTCCCATACTTCCCATTAAAATGTGGGTAGGTTGGGGAAGAAAAGTACAGGGTAAGAAAAGTGCACCCCCCTCACTGCAAGAAAAGATCACGGTAAATCCTGTACTGATTACTCCAGAATTCACCGTACTTTTCTTAACAGGCAATACCGTCGTTTTTTTACAGGCAATACCGTACTTTTTTCTACAGATAACACCGTACTTTTTTTTACAGGGAATCCCGTACATTTAATACCCATCAAAAACTGCTATAAATTTTTTTAGACGGTCGACCGCCGTTTTACAAGATCCTGATGTACGTAACTGCTGAATTTGGACTCCTAGACCCCCCTTCCGACCACTCGTTGAAAAGGTCTTGACGAGATCTATCGAAAGGTGCAATAAAATTTTCCAGTCGGTCGACCCCCTTTTTTCAAGGTCCTGATGTGGACAATTCTTGGAAGCGGCCCTTGTTGGGATCAGATCTGGTCCTTCCTATGGCATGGACTGTACGGAAGAACGGTTACTACTGTTAAAAGACTACGGAATATTTTGTAAAACAAGTACGGTAAATACTGTAGACTGTACGATGGATACTGGTTTCTGAAGTACGGTAAAGTTTGGTAAAAAAATTATCCAGGATTTGCCGTCATTTTTTCTCAGAGTGCTTGTGGCCTACTGCGCCAGTCCATGACCTCCATTTAACAGTGTTATCACTCAGATTTTCATGTAAAGTTGAAATCACTGGTCGAGGGATGGCTAGAAGTCAAGATATCAGCTCCACAAGGGCTGTACTTTTCTTCCCCAACCTACCCCTACAGCCATTAGAAGGAATTAGTTAATAAAAGAAATGATTATGATTCACTAAAGGTTTTTACACATCAAATTTAAATATATACAGCCATTAACAGGAATTACTTTAAAAGAATTACAATCGAAAAAGAAGAAAAAAAAAGACTACCTCCAGAAAAGAAATTACTTGGGAGACGGAAGGGTTGCAAGAGCCTTACCAGAGGCGTTGAGAACGTGGGACAAACATCAGGATCGCGTCCATAAGAAGAAGGACTTGCCACAGATTGCGAAGAAACCTAGAAACAAGGTCACGTACAGGTTATAAGACGAGTGGCATTCATAACAACATTAAATAATTGTATGCCAGCATGGTTGGAAAACGCACATCCAGGGGTTATTCTTGAAGCGTTGATTCTCCATATTTTCGGCCGTAGAAGGTTGTGAGAAAGTAACAATATTTCGTGGAGAAATTAGCGTTGGACGTGACACCAGCAAAGGCAGCAGAGCGAGCACAGATGAAATACCGGAACCAGACCGGAACGAAAAACGTAAAGGGCTGCGACGGCACCTACGAAACCAAAGATTAGTGCCATAGACGAAAATGCCTGTGCCCTACATGCCTTGGTGACCGCCACACGGCAAAAAGTTTTGCCGTTCGCAGGTAGGGTAAGGTACCAAACATGGATCACTTTGTAAATAATCTTGTCTCTATCGAAATTAAGTATGGGTTGACTACTATTCTTTGAATCTAATGTTGTTTACCTTACTGGTCATATGGCTACCAAAAACGGTACCTTTGACTTGAATACTTTGGAAGTTGTGAGGACAAGAAAATATGGCTGCTTTTGCTAAGGTTAGGTTAGGGCGGTCCAATCATGGATCACCCCACCAGCGTATGGACACTTAGCAAGGTATGCATTCAGTGGTCCCAAAATATCAAAGTAGTCTGTCTAAGGTGCACGATGAAAAATTGTGAAGTGTCTGAGGTGAATACTTGCCCCAGGGGTGCAAAACTAAACCTTTTTGAACGTCATTTTTCCATCGACTTTCGGGGGCCTGTATGAGGTGTCCTTCTAAACGCAACCCTGCAGAGTAGAGAGAGGCAGTTGCAAACTTGTCAGCTTTACATCTAACAGTCAAATGGTCAGTCTAAGCAATGAAAGACAGAACTTTAGATTCTGATCACCTGGTCTTTAAATATAGACCCCCAAACAGAAATGATCCATGTTTGGTACCCCGATCCATGTTCGGCACTTTCACTGTTTCTGAATTTTCTTAGGAACTCCCTGGAAACTCTTCACTGTAGGCTATCTGAGAAAATGAGAAACCGTCTTAAACGAGCAGAAACCGAAAGGCGCCAGCCGCACTTTAGGCGGTGAAAGCGGCCTTGGAACAAGGGGGAAATCACTCCTGAAAATGGTCGACCGACTATTACATTTTGAATCATTACAGACAATTACACCTATTACGCAAATTACAGATATTACATCGACATTTCTGCTATTACAGTACCATTACAGTGCAATTACAGCAATTACATCAATTACAATCATTACGCCCATTACGCACCTATTACGCAATTGCACAGGAATTACCTATCAATTACAGCTATTACACTACTATTACAAGGCTATTACGCTGCTAGAACGGCCTTGGAAATAGGTTTCAGCCTCCAGAGGGACTATTTTGTTCCGTGGGCACAGGGTATGGCTAGGTAGTACAGCAGTGACACCTCAGCTGGTCGCTGTTGTTAGCTGTCTCGGGGGATCTTTTATCGCCCCCCCCCCCCCCCCCCCCCCCGATACCTTTAATACCGCTTGTAAAAGAACCAAACCGCCGCGGCCGGCCGGCGCTACCCCCGCCGCGCCCAGGTAGCCGCTGGAGGTAGCCGTCTGGGCGCGCGGGGTATCGCCGGGCCGGCTGGTCGGATTCTTTTGGAAGTGGTTGTACTATCTTTTTAACAGATACGGTTCTCAACAACCCGTCCTGATAAAATTCAGCCCTTGCATCAATCATTTTCCATGAAAAAAATTGGGAATTTGAATCTTGGCCGAAATATCATTAGACAAGAATGTCTTTTGGCCACAGGAACCTTTGTCTTTCCAATCAATTATTAGCTTGTTCATATTAAACCAGATTAGGGTTTAGACTACCCCTCCATACAGATTCAGCCCCTCACCTGCCCCCCAAGAGACACCCCCCCCCCACACACACACACCCTACATGCCACTCTCGGCTTGCTATCGGCTCGATCCGGACGTTGGGTATTACTTTTATTGCAGCCAAATGACTTTTTCGCTGACTTTTCGCGAATGTTTTAGTCATTTTCTGTATTTTTCTTCCCACATATTACACCTATTACACACCTATTACAGGCATTACAGGACCATTACAGGCATTACACCAATATTACACCCATTACATAGGTATTACACATTACAGGGCCATGGCCATTACAGGGCTATTACAGACCCTTCGACCGACCATTACACAAGTGATATCCCCCTTGCCTTGGAACCGAAGCAGATGATTAGTTTGTAAGTTCCCTAGAGGTTGTGTTGTCAAAATTGTTCACACTGGCACATTTACAAGGTTGGGATAGAACTTCATTGGCTGAGTGATAGCGAAGCCCGTTACTCGGGTACGGTTGGAAATTTTTTTCTGTCTGTCTGTCTGTCTGTCCGCACTACTCCTCCTGAACGGCTCGGCCGATCTCGGTGAGATTTTGCACACTTTTTGGACATGTCCTTGGCTCGGCACACGCGAAATTTCACTATCGTAGCTCAACTGGTTCAGTTTTTAAAGCCGAAAAACACCTAAAAACGGCGAAAAATCGAGTTTTCGGCAGGCAGATGCCTTCTGGGGCGTTCCATGGTAGATTTACACGAGTTTAATCGACCATCTCCGATTTTGCTCATATTTGGCTCAAATGTTGCCCTCATAGGGGGGAACATCCGTGCAAAATCTCACAGCTGTGGCCCCAGCAGTTTCCGAGATATAGCGGTTCAAAGTTTTTATTTAAGACTTTCCGAAACTTTTATATAAAAAGTGAAAAATTGGGTCCCATTTCCGTACCGTTCACTCTAGAAGGACGAAAATGGTATCATTTACGTAAAATCACGAGAGGAATCCGATTATGCCCCCGAAAAGATCGTAGCTCAACTCCTTCTATCCGAAATCGCAATTTTGAGCTTATTTTTCAGGTATTTTTGAGGTTTTGGGTGGGGGGTTTTCCCCAATCGAAAAATCGACTTATTCAGGGTGCAATCGGTAGGTCTCTGACTCTACTTTTAAGTTCAAATGACGAAAGTATGGGGTATGGCCCTCGTTTTCGCTCCACAGCCCGTTGAAAAATAAAAAATCGCC